AAGCTAATGTTAATCATTATTTAATGACTTGTTTTGTTTCCCAAATGGAATTATAAAAGAAAAATAGTTGGGAAAAAACCCTTACATTTCCTTGTGCTCATAAACTAAGTGATATACACAGTAGCTTTCTGTGCATCAGTTTTTCATTTACTCAATTTATTTTCTAGGACTCTTCCTGTATTCCCTTTTTTAGGGAAGACAGTGTAAATTCAACCTTCCAAAATAACTATTGTTTTTACATTAATAAACTGTAGTTGAAAAGTAAAGACACTTACAACCAAGAGGAGGTTTACAATTAAGTTTTACATAAGATTCTGGGTTTTTTTTGCTTAAGCATAAGTAACAATACAAGTTATCTTAAATGTCTTTCTGATTGTTGAATGAATTTTACCCATTTATGTTTACTTGAACATGTGGGAATAAAATAATTTTAACATTAAATTTTAATGAATATTTCCAATATAGTTGACATTAACAGAGCTCTTCTTGCCAAGAGAAAAAAGCTAGAAATGTATACCCAGGCTTCTTTCAGAAACAGTACCCAGAGGATTGAACAAGTTTGGAGAACACAACAAGAACAAAGGTAAGGCAATTCTTTTTAACAGCTGTGTTTCTATCATTTCTTAGTCTAGATTAGTGTGTGGTACTTTTGAAAAATATCACCTTCTATTTATTGGCATCTTTGATAAAAATAGTTGGCTTGATTTATATCTAAGCAGGTAGTTCTTACCTTACGCCTTACCTTATAGAATGGAGGTATTTCTTAGAATTCAGGAAAGATAGCTTTTTTTTTCTTCTAAATAACAGTTAAAAATTTTTTGTTATTAAAATGTATATTCATTCCAGAAATATACAACTTAAGTAAAAACTAAGTGTCATAGAAACTATTGTTTTATAGTTAAATGTTTGACATTGTAGGGTAGAAAAAGGCCAATTTTATATTGTAATTTGTATATTTTAACTCATCATTTATGCTAAACTTTGCTATGCCTACATGTGAAAAATTAGGTGAAATATTTCTCCTGGGAAATCAGTTAGCACATCAGAACTGGTATTCAGTAGAAGAATTAAAAACTGAAGATAAAATTACCTTTTCTGGAATATATATGGAATATTATATATATGGAAAATGATAAAAACTCAGTTTTCAAGAGCTAAAATATATGAGAGAACTTTTGTGTTAGCTTGTAAGAAAAAATACTTTTGAAATCTATGCATGTCTACTTTTACTTCTTGGTTTTCTATCAGAATTTTTAAACTGTTTTTGTTATGTTGTTCCTTTTGATAGTATAAAATACATCACTGCACTTTGTTTTGGGAGTTTTTTCATATTGGTTTGACAGTCACAGTATACTTTATGTTTTACAGGCAGAAGATTAGCAAAGAATATTCTCAGCACTTTCAAACTTTGTTTCAGCAGTGGGATACAGATGTGAAGAAATCTGGGGAACAAGAAGAAAAGCTAACTGTTAGTGTCACAATTAACACTGCAATTCATCCATTACTATAACTAAAGTCTTAAGCAGGAAAGGAGAACCTAGCTTTGTTTGTACTGGGCTCATGGAATTGAGCCAGGTTCCACTACACATTGCTTATTATGCATTTTAGTCTTGCTCATAAAAGCCACTGGTCTCTGTTGCTTATATTGGTTGGGATTCTTAGGTTCAGGAGGATTTCCAGTTTGTCTAAAAGAACTCAAAAGTAGTTTAGCTTTGGACACAGATGAATAGGAATAGAGAATGTTGCTGGCCCAGTATCATCTGAGCTGTATTGTGATAATTCTTTGGGGGCTCTCAGTGTCATGTTGGGTATTGAAATCCTAGACTTTGGGGCTGGGAATGTGGCTTAGTGGTAGAGTGCTTGCCTAGCATGCATGAAGCCCTGGGTTGGATTCCTCAGTACCACATAAACAGAAAAAGCCAGAAGTGGCGGTGTGGCTCAAGTGGTAGAGCACTCACCTTGAGCTGAAGAACTCAGGAACAGTGCCCAGGTCCAGAGTTCAAGCCCCATGACTGACCAAAAAAAATTGTTATTAACTACATTTTTTTCTTCTATATTTGTAGAATGTACTTCGACAACAACAAAAGATTTTTCAGCAATCTAGGATTATTCAGCACCAGAGACTGAAAACACTTAAACAGTTATATGACCAGTTCATAAAGGTATGCTGTACTTGGAAATGTGACTCAGTCTTTAAAAAATGTACATAAGCTTTTTTTCAAGTTTATGGAAAAAACATATTGCTTATACATTAAAAAAACTTACATTTTAGAAATCATTGTTTCTTACTGAAATGATAAATACATCTCTAGAATGCTAATGGTTTTGTGGAAGTATTGAAGACAAGAAATGATAAACTGGGAATTTTACCTACACATGTATCATGTACCAAATCCATACTTTGGTTACAGTCTTTAACATGAAGTCTGTAAATCATTTCTGTATAGTCTTTTTTTTCTATTCTCTGTTTCTTGTTTGTTTAGAAGGTATTCAATTTAGAATTTAATAGTAAAGTCTTCAGATTCTGGGCTTTTTCTCTGGGGAAGCTTTTTTTTTCTTTCCTGTAGTGCTGGGTATGGAACTCGGCCCCATATACTAGACATGCTATCACTAGGCTACATCTTGCCCTTTCAGGAAATATTTGATTACTGATTCAATATCTCTATTGAAAACAAAAAGGAATATACCCAATTGAAATTATTGAACTTTTGGCTGGGCACTGATGGCTCACACTTGTAATTCTAGCTACTTAAGAGCTGAGATCTCATGATTGCACTTTGAAGCCAGGCCAGGCAGACAAATCTGACACATTTTTTTTTTTGCGGGGGGGGGGGGGGGGGGGGGGGAGGGGGGAGGGGGGGGGGGGACAGTCCTGGGGCTTGATCTCTGGGCCTGGGCACTGATCCTGAGCTTTTTTGCTCAAAGCTAGCCCTCTACCACTATGAGCTGTAGCTCTACTTCTGGTTTTCTGGAGATAAGTCTCACAGACTTTCCTGCCTAACTTGGCTTTGAACCTCAGATCTCAGCCTCCATAATAGCTAGGATTACAGGCTTGAGCTATCTGGCTTTGAGAGACTATTATCTCCAATTAACCAGCAAAAAGCTGGAAGTGGAGGTATGGTTGATTTGGTAAAATGGCAGCCTTGAAAGAAAAAGCCAAACAAGAGCCCCTAGTTCAAGCTCTAGTACCAACCTACATACACACACAAAGAAATGGAATATTTGTTTTCAAGTGTATTATAGTTTAATTTTTGCCAGTTCTGGGGCTTGAACTCAGGGCCTAGAGACTGTTCCTGAGCCTCTTTGTGCTCAAGGCTAGCACTCTACCACTTGAGCCACAGCACCATTTCTGGGTTTTTCTGTTTATGTGGTACTGAGGAATGGAACCCAGGGATTCATGCATGCTAGGCAAGCACTGAGCCACCTTCCCAGTCCTTACAGAAGCATTTTATGGCATATCTGATTTTACTATTGCAGGGGCCAAAAATAACTTTATACGATAATTTATAGTGGTGAGATAGCTCAGAATATAATAGACGGTCCAAGTAGAGAATTTGACAGCTCGCTGTAATGTTTCCTGCTAATATTTGTTAGTTAATATGAAGGTTTGACAAGGTATTAGAAAATATTTCTTTGATGTTATCACTGGCTCTTCCATCTCTTTTTATCTTTCATACTCAGTCATTACCAGAACCTATAGTTTTTACCTTTGCTATGTCCAATATTTCTGTAATTAATGTTCTAATTCAGGATCCCCAACATTCTTTGCTTTTATTGCTAAAATTCTTGATTTCTTTGTTCTCTAGCCCAGCCTTAATAGATCTTATCTTTCTAGAATATCTCCTTTTCCTGAAAAATGATCAGTTCTACATTTTTAGAGATCCTTGTGACTGATTTCTTTTTGAGCTTCATTACATTTTCCATTATTCCCCACCTTTATACAGTTGGTGGTTTTGTTTGTTTTTAATTGGTCATGGGGCTTGAACTCTGGGCCTGGGTGCTGTCACTCAGCTCTTCAGCTCAAGGCGCGACTGGCACCTGGCTATACAGCTCAAGGCTAGTGCTCTATGACTTGAGCCACAGCGCCACTTCTGGTTTTCTGATGGTTTATTGGAGATAAGTCTCAGGGAAAAAAAAAAGTCTCAGGGACTTTCCTGCCAGGGCTTCCTTTGAACCATGACCATCAGATCTTAGTCTCCTTAGTAGCAAGGATTACAGGCGTGAGCCACTGGTGCCTGGCTTTTACCTCCACCTTGACCTCAACAGTTCATTAACCCACTGCTTGACACCAAGTATACCATCAGTGTACTTTTTGTAACTATATTTGATTCATGTCTGATCTATTTTACTTTATAGTAGGAATTTTGGTTTTCATATTAAAATATTTTTAACTTGGAATAATGAGTATTATTTGAATATTAAAAAATTCCTTTGGAAATTTAGTAAATATAGGACCTGAGATGAAAAAGTTACAGTTTATAACTACACTTTGTGTTTTAGAGTCTGGAGGATGTTGAGAAGAATAACGATAATATGTTTACAAGCACACAAAGTGAACTTAAAAAAGAAATGGCTTTGTTGCAGAAAAAAATTATGATGGAAACTGTAAGTTATTATACCTCTTTTAGTTTTTCTGGGGGTGTTTTACTGAGGTTTTGAACTCAAGGTTTTGTACTGGCATGGCAAGTGGCTCTACCATATGAGCCTCACTACCAGCCATTTTTGCTTTTGTTATTTTTGTATAGGGTCTCACTTTTTGCCCAGGCCGGCAAAAAGTTACAAGTTTCTCATGTAGTTGAGATGAAAGGTGCAAAGCATTGTGCCAGCATTATATTGGTTGAGATGGCCCAAGTTTATTATTGGTTTATTGGCCTGGGCTGACCTTGAACTGAGATTCTCCCAATCTCAGCTTCCTGAGTAACTAGGATTACAGGCATTGAGCCATTGTGCCCAACTAAGTTACTATATTTCAAATTAAAAAAAAACCGTAATTATTACTGTAAGCGTTGAAATATTTTATTTGCTGAAATATGTATAACAACTAAAAATTAAACAAATGTTTCATATCTCCTTTCATGAAACAGCAGCAGCAAGAGATGGCAAGTGTTCGCAAGTCTCTTCAGTCCATGATATTCTGATGACTCTTTGAAGAAAGAACTTGAACCTGAGTAATATAATTATAAAGTTAGCTGAGAGGCATGACTTTCAAGTAGTTTAGACATTCTAGTTGAAATTAGTATACTTTAATCAATAGCTTAAGTACAGAACATCTCTGTTAACTTCCACATAAAATCCAAATATGTGTCAGCCAGTCCTAAATTAAATGTATCACGCTTTTAAGTAGATCTAGTTGTAATTGTGACTTTTTCTAAAACTGTTAATTAGCTTTTATCAATAAAGATTATTTAAATTTAAGTTTTGGCCTCATATATCTTTATCAGTCCCAAAAGATACAAAGCACAGGAACAGAAGGCTACTTTTGTTTTTTTGAGACAGAGTCTCCTATGTTGCTGAGACTGTTCGCAAATGCTTGGGCTCAAGTGATCCTCTCCTTCAGTTTCCCAAGTAGCTTGGACTATAAGTATGGGCCACTATACGTGGTTTACATTGTTGTTCTTTAAGGAAAAATTACCAAGTATTACATGTGTAGCCTTTTCTATGTATTTTCTAAAAGTATTGAATACTGTGTCACTTTCACAAAGATCAGTATGTCATTTAATTGGGCTTCGTCTGTAAGTTTTGTTGAGCATACCATGACCATAGCTAATTAATTATGGGTTAAGTACTTCACATCTGTCTTCAAAGATAATTTACAGTTTACCTTGAATGTCTTTTCAGTCACTTAAACTCTGGGCCTGGGCACTGTCCCTCAGCTCTTCAACTCAGAGCTAGCGCTCTACCTCTTGAGCCATAGCACCATTCCTGGTTTTCTGGTGGTTAATTGGAGATAAAAGTCTCACGGACTTTCCTGGCTGGGCTGGCTTTGAACCATGACCATCAGATCTTAGACTTCTGAGTAGTTAGGATTACAGGAGTGAGCCACTGACGCCTGCCATCTTTTCAGTATTAATGTTTAATAAACATATTCACTTCCAGACTTGAACAATTAATTTTTGATGCTTTGTCTTTTAAAATGTGTATTTGCATACAGAATAATTTTAAGAAATTGTTTAATAAATTTTAAATTGTTCTAACATTTCTTTGAAATATATCAGTTAAACTGATTATGTTTTGGCGAAATTACTTTCAATTTTAGCAAAATCATTCAGAACAACATTTCCCTGCTTTTCCATGCCTTAAATTCTAAGTTTTGCCTCTATAACCTTTACCTTAGTCTTCATGCTTTCCAAATTTTAATAAAAAGTCCACACACATTCTATTTTTCTGTGATAATTTATACAGGAAGGAATTAGTCCTCTACTATTAGCATATATTTAACATTAAGAGGACATGACTTCTATTTTATTTTTATTTTTTGTCTTTTTTGAGTATTTATTATGCCAGGGATCAGACACAAGTATGTACTCTTGCACTGAGCTGCTTCTCTGGCCTGGAGTATAAATCTTCTAAGTACTAGTTAAGTTCATATAAGAAGGTCCAATTATTTGAGAAGTTTTGCCAGTAGTTAGAGAGGCAAAAATAAATATTTGAATATTTCTGTGTACGTAAATCACATAAGTATATTTTTCCTTACTTCACATAAATATTTTTCCAATGTCCACTGTTTTTTCAATATGCCTTTTTCTTATGAATAAAGTACATGTTCATTATGCCTCTATTTTTCTGTTTTATCATATCAATTACATATGGAATGGTTATATATATATAAAATTAGAAATAAGGTCAGATGGGAGTCTGAAGATTTGGATCAACAAAGACCTTTGTGATAGGTATAAAGGATATTTATAAGATAGTATAATATATATTATAAAATAATACTATAAGAGTATTTTATAAAAATACAAAGAACTGGGCTGGGAAAGTGGCTCAGTGGCAGAGTGCTTGCCTTGCAATGCATGAGGCCCTGGGTTCGATTCCCCAGCACCACATAAGCAAAAAGAAAAAAGCCGGAAGTGGCACTGTGGCTCAAGTGGTAGAGTGCTAGCCTTGAGCTGAAGAGCTGAGGGACAGTGCCCAGGCCCAGAGTTCAGGCCCCACAACTGGACCAAAAAAAAAAAAAAAAAAAATACAAAGAACAATCTAAATATTTTTAGCTGAGAAGAGAAAGATAAGAATCAGTACCTAATGTACTTAGTGATGAATAATTTATACTTATTGTATTCTCTGTTACCATCTGGAATGAGTCAATGAGCAATCCAAGTAACTGGGTGATATTTAAAAGGATGATATTTCTGCCATGTTTTCATTGGTGAGTATTTACATGTCAACTGGTTTAGCTCCTGATTTGATCTTCATAAAAAAGACCATTCAAGACTATCAAGGAACTAGTTAGTTACCCTTAATTTATAGAAATATATGTTTTTCTGAATAGTTATAACTCATTTCACTAAAGACACATTACAAAATCCCCACAGCCCTGTTAAATTCTAGGTCGTATTTTAAAGCAAGTATCGTATTATTATGCCTTTTTGAAAAAAAGGTTCGTATGAAAAAAACACTTCTAAGACCATCACTTGATTCAATCACAATATCATAAGTCAAGCACTTTTTTATGCAGTGCTTATAATCTTGCATTTTAACTTTTTTGCAGTGTGTGTCACTGCCAAGCTATCTTGTCACTGTCAGGACAGCTAAAGTTCTTTAAGTTCTGTATTTTTATGCTTTCGCAATGAAACCCTCAAGTGTCTGATCGATATTCTGTAGAAACAAGGATTGCTATTTAGAACTGTAGGAATTCACTTCTTATCCTCAAGATTGAATTTGGTTTTTGGTCTTGCTTCTTGTTAATTTATAGACTATCTTACTGATAAAATCTATGATCAAAACTGAAGGTTCATGACACATAACGAGGGCTTCATTGCTGAAATAGACATAATGGAACCTACAGAATTTATATTTTAAATAACCTTATTCGATAGTATACTAGCCTCCTGCATAGGGGGATTTCCTTCACTCCTAGGTTCCCCTAACTGCTTCTCCTCTTTTCCTTGGCTTATTAGTCAGTCAATATGCTTGTGAACCTGTTCAGGTGCTTGATGATATGAAGTCTTGAAGATACTTAGATGAAGGTGTCTTGAAATTTGCAGGCATAAAGAACTAAAGTATATCATCATATCAAATGAAGAAAGGACCTTAAAAACAAAAAAATACAGAATAGATTATAGTCTATCTTTTCTAAACTTGCAGCTGTTACTGTCCCCCCTTTCCCCCAGTCTCAAACATTTGCCACCTAAAATTCTTCACTAAAAATATTCGATTTTAAAGTATATATTTATATTGAATATTTAGACCTCATTGTAGTTTTCAGTAACACACAGAACAGAAACAAGCTCGACAATAAAAGGACTTGAATACAAAAGTTAAGAAGTAACAAAACCCAAATATTTGGAGTCATGCTCTCAACGTCTGCTGTGAAAAGATTACACAAATTCCCTACTATAAGTCATTATAATTAATACAGTTTTGGTTCCTCTGAGGTTAGTCATAAGAAAATAAAGGTCAGGAAAAGACACCATGGTTGCAGGAGGCATGTACAAAATTGATGGTGCTCAAAATTAAGGTCTCAGAAGACTACCCACAGATGAGAGTCAAATGTTTTCCTTTGGAAAATGAAGGCCAGGAGGAAAAAGTAGCCTGTGCCCCTGGAGAAAGAATTTGTACTCATGGAAAAAAAATTAACTAGCCTTTAAAAGCTTTGTTAGTTTTTTTTGGGAGGTGGGGGGGGGGGGGGAGGAGGGTGTTGGTCCTGGGGCTTGAACTCAGGGCTTAGATGCTATTCCAGAGTTTTTGATCAAGGCTAGAGCTCTACCACTTGAGCCACCTCTGGATTTTGAGTGGTTAAATGGAGACTAATTGGCTTTGAACTGTGATACTCTGATCTCATAGCTCCCAAGTAGAAGGATTACAGACATGAGCCGCCAGAACCTGGCTTTTCAGATTTTTTTTTCATGTTTGAAATACGAAGCACTTTCCCAAGGGATACCAGGGAGCACAGATGTTTTGTTGGACGTGTGTGTGTGTGTGTGTGTGTGTGTGTGTGTGTGTGTGTGTGTGTGTGTGTGTGTGTGTGTGTGTGTGTGGTCTTCTACATAGTTGTTTTTTTTTGGTCGGTTGTGCAGCTTTGAACTCTGGGCCTGGGTGCTGTCTCTGAGCTCTTCAGCTCAAGGCAAGCGCTCTACCACTTGAGCCATAGTGCAACTTCCGTTTTTCCAGTGGTTAATTGGAGATGAGTCTTACAGACTTTCCTACCCAGGCTGGCTTTGAACCGTGATCCTTAGATCTCAGCCTCCTGAGCAGCTAGGATTATAGGCAGGAGCCACTGGCGTCTAGCTTTCTACATAGTTTTAAAGAAAAATTGCATTTGAGTGTTTCACTTCTCTATCACTGGCGCAAATAAATCAGGCCAACAACTTACTACAAAATAGGTGCTTGTATTTTTTTTTGGGGGGGGGGGAGTTTGAACTCAGGTCCTTATAGGTGTTAAGTAGGTGATTTACTGCTTAGCCATGCCTCCAGCCCTGTTTTGCACTGTTGACTATGTATTCTGAGCTGGAGGGCGGGGAGGGGGAATGACTCACTTCCTGCCTGGGCTTGTTCCTGAACTTTAATCTGCCTATTTTAGGTTTCTCATTGTTGCTGGGATGACAGATGCATGCTACAGTCCAGCTTCCCCAAGTTGAAATGAGGTCTTATGAACTTTTCCTCCTTGGCTGACTGGAAATGATTCTCCAGATCTCAGCCTCAAGTATAGCTTAGGATAAGTATGTGCCGTTTTCCCCGCTATGGGTTGAGAAGGGCTTCCTGAACTTTTCTGCCCAGTCTGGCCTCAAGCCAGCCTATTCTCAGCTGCCTGGACAGCTAGAATTACATGTGCAAATAATCATGTCCAAGCTTTAAGCTTAAAATTTTAACACCTGACAGTTAATATTATTCATTTGATAATACATACCAAATTCACTAAGATAAACCATTTATAGGATTTTCAGATACATTTTTTTTTTGAGTACTGGGGTTTGAACTCAAGAGTCTCATACCTTCCACGTAAACCATGTTCCCAGACCCATTTTCAGAAATTTTGAATAATACCCTATTTATTAATTTGGATTGCTTGGATCCATAAATATTTACAGTAGATATTAAAATGACTCTAGTTTTCAAACACTCTTTGTGTGTGTGTGTGTGTGTGTGTGTGTGTGTGTGTGTGTGTGTGTGTATGCATGCATGCTGGTAACTTAGGCTTAAACCAGGCTTGCAGTCTAGCGTGGCTTTTTCTAAACTATTTCCTGAAAACTTTAATTGTTCACTTGAAAGGAGCAAGAATTATATCTCATACCAGCTTGGTAAGTATGTGATCATAGGAAATATAGATGACATTTGAGTATATCACCATAGGAAGTACAGATGACCTTTGAATGGCTATGGATGAAGATTACTCACTCTAGAAGTTTATTGTAGGGGCAGGGAAGGTGGCTCAGTTTGCCTTGCATGCATGAGGCCCTGGGTTCGATTCCTCAGCACCACATAAGCAGAAAAAGCCGGAAGTGGGTTATGGCTCAAGTGGTAGAGTGCTAGCCTTGAGCTGAATTGCTGAGGGACAGCGCCCAGGCCCAGAGTTCAGGCTCCATGACTGGAGTGCCAGTGGCTCACGCCTGTAATCCTAGCTACTCAGGAGGCTGAGATCTGAGGATCGCAGTTCAAAGCCAGCCTGGACAGGAAAGTCTGTGAGACTCTTATCTCCAATAAACCACTAGAAAACCAGAAGTGGCGCTGTGGTGCAAGTGGTAGAGCGCTCGCCTTGAGCTGAAGAGCTGAGGGACAGCGCCCAGGCCCAGAGTTCAAGCCCCACAACCAACAAAAAAAAAACCCATATTCTCTATTGCATAATCATTTTGAGTAGAAATAAATCCTTTCTTAGCAGAATACAATCAAAGTGAGCATACATCCATTGCTTGAGTGATCATTATTACAAATCTACACCCATCAAAGGCCACACAGACGCATACGGCTGCTTACTCCTGGCACACAATGGTCTCAGGGTCTTTTCTCAATGTTAGCTAAAGGTTCTCATGCGGAAGCAAGTGTCCACCTTTGCTATTACCTTCTGTAGCGTAATTAAGTCAGAGAGTCATTTGGGCAAAGTGTTTTTGACATCTTTTTTCTGATTTGGAGGAAGAAAAACAGTGATTTTGGAGGGACTAGATATGCAACAACTAGGAACCTGACCCCCAGATATGCATGCCATTTCTACACCCCTCATACCTTTAGAAAAACCATTTTAAATATCCAGAAGTATTTACTGTATGAAGGCAATGGATAATCTCACTGAAATGCTTCTTAAAAGACATAATGTGGGAAGTGGTGGTGTGGCTCCAGTTGTAGACTGCTAGCCTTGAGCTGAAGAGCTCAGGGACAGTGCCCAGGCCCAGAGTTCAAGCCCCACAACTACCACCAACAACAAAAAAAACCCAAAAAACAAAAAACAAAACCCCACATAATGTGATCTAATAGCAGTTAAAAATAAATGAATAAAAATCAAAAAAGTACTTACCATTGCTATCCATAGAACAATATATTCATCTATAAAATTATTAAAGTACTGGTCTAAAAACAAAAGACCTGGCCCAACAAAGACAGTGTCTTGAAGATACAGTTCACTTTTGGTCATGTGAGCTATCTATAAAAAAATAAAAACAATTTCACAATTAAGTATTTAGATATTTTGGTTCTAATTTTCAGGACACGATTATTAGTTTGCTGTTGAGACATAGAGACCTTATCATTTCACACCTGATAAATATACTTATTTACATATCTATGATTAGATAACTTATTTAAAATTTCTAGTATTTAAGTTCTTTGATACTTTTAGAAAGTTGCGATTGATCATTATGGTAAACCAATAACAATATAACACTTAGCTCAGCTTTACTCAGAGCATAAAAATCTGTTTTTTTGTGGTACTGTTACCACAAAGGAAAACTGATGTATGGTATACTTTCCAGCTTTGTGTGTGAGGCCTAAATATAATATATATATATATATCTTTATATTTTTTAATTTTTAATTTCATTTTGGTCAGTCATAGGGCTTGAACTCAGAGCCTGGGCACCATCCCTGAGCCTCTCAAGGCTAGTACTCTACCACTTGAGCCACAGCACCACTTCTGGTTTTCTGGTGGTTTATTAGAGTCTCATGGACTTTCCTGCTCCGGGTGGCTTTCAACTGTGATTCTCAGATCTCAGCCTCCTGAGTAGCTAGGATTACAGGAGTGAGCCACAGGTGCCAAGCCCATAATACTTAGGTCTCAGCCTCCTGAGTTCTAGTACTATAGGCATGAGTCACTAGTGCCCAGCCTAAGGACAATACATGAAGAATCATAAAAGATGTCTTACCACTAATTTTTGTGCAATTTTAGCAAAGACACACCCAAACATTAGGGTATAAAGACAAGGATGCTTTTCAAACACATTAGTTGCTGATTTTTTATAGATCATTATTGCCAGTATAATGATGAGTCCTATGTGGAGTCCGGGTGACAAGACACTGGTACCCTAAGGAATAAGCAGAATATTTGTGTCAGCATCACATTTTAACACTGCATTTATGAAACAACGCAAATAGTCTGGAGAGGGGGATGTTGTTATTAAAGGAATTTAATAACTTTAATTAAAAATTCATAACTGAGTTCTGCTACAGGTCTTGGCAGTGGGAAGCAACTCCCAGGCTGACTGCCCTTTGGAAGGTGGCCAAACCCCACCTCGGATACAAAGTCTGTCACTGCCCCTTGGCAAGGAGTTACCTAGAAGTCAACATCAATGCACATCGAAGATCCATGGGGATTTTTATCCACAATTTTTTTTTTTGGGTCCGGTTGTGAGGCCTGAACTCTGGGCCTGGGCGCTGTCCCTCAGCTCTCCAGCTCAAGGCTAGCGCTCTACCACTTGAGCCACAGCACCACTTCCGGCTTTTTTCTTTTTGCTTATGTGGTGCTGAGGAATCGAACCCAGGGCCTCAGGCATGCAAGGCAAGCGCTCTTCCACTGAGCCACCTTCCCAGCTCTCCATGGAGATTTTTTAAAGTTTTAAATATATTAGACATTTTTTGGGGGGGTTGGTCACAGGGCTTGAAATCTGGGACTGAGTGCTGTCTCTCAGCTCTTCAGCTCAAGACCAGTGCTCTACCACTTGAGCTACAGCATCACCTCCAGTTTTCTAAGTGGTTTATTGGAGATAAGAGTCTCACAGACTTTCCTGCCCAGGCTGGCTTTGAACCTCGATCCTCAGATCTCAGCCTCCTGAGTAGCTAGGATTACAGGCATGAGCTACTGGTCCATGGCGTATGAGACACTTTTGACTGCCATTTTTACAGAACTGTTGATATGGTATACAAGAGTTCTAACTCTTTCACGGAAAATACATTTTTCATAAGCGCTCTCTATACACCAATGGCTTCTGATCTGGAGAATTACTGTGGAGGACTGGGGATATGCAGGCTCTTCCTAGGTATGCAGAGTCACCCCTGGAACATGGTGGCACTCCAGCCATGCAGACTCCTATGGAGGAGGAGAGGTTGGGGCTCCAGGCAAGGATCACTTTTGTGGGACAATCCACTGACCACATGGCTCTTTGATTTTCTGCATCCTGAAGGAGCAGAGATTTTGAAAGGATACAAATGGCAAGAGCATCTTGTGAGGAGCGCCCTTCAGAAAAGTGCTCCATTAACTTGGAAGGACAAATGGGAGATAGAATAAAGAAAACATTTTCTGAACATTTCATTTTGTGTAAAATACTAAGAATCTAAAGAAGAATATGATGTGGTGCATTGATGAAAGAAGTCTGCAAACCTTAGGCGTGCTTTTCAAACTCCTACTAGACCCTGAGAGTATACAGATATTTAATAACCACACATGTCTCATTTCAGTTTCATATGTGCATGCTTTACATCAATGAACTAAAGATTAACAGACTCATCCTACATCAACTTTACTATATCAAAGGACAGTCAAAATAACATTTTTTGCAAGTGTGCATATACACATGTGAAGATGTTGAAATAAAGCGTATCTTACCAATTCTATGAAATATCACTGATTTTAAAGAGTTCAAGTCTACCTTGGTTCCTTTCTACATCAGTACTTTCCTCACTCCCTTTTGTTTTGCTTTCAGACTACAAATAATAAAACTTTTTTTTTGTGAATCAGGATTTTCTCACTGTTTACCCTAAAAAACAAACTGAAATATCACTCTGATGAACATAGATGCAAAATTTCTCAATACAATTCTGGCCAACTGAATTTAAAAAATTCATACATTATGATGAGATGTGACTCATCCCAAGGATGCAAAGCTGGCTCAACATATATAAATCAATAAATGTAATAAAACACATCAACCGAAGTAAGGCCAAGAACCACACAATCATCTCAAAAAAGTTTTTGACATGATCTAACATCTTTTTTATGATAAAAGCTCTGGAGAAGCTGGAAATACAAGGAACATTCCTCAATATAATAAAGGCTATGTATGATAAACCTATAGCCAACATCACACTTAATGATGAAAAATTAAAACCATTTTTTCTAAAATCAGGAACAAGATAAGGATATCCACTTTCTCCAGTCCTCTTCAATATACTGAAATTCCTAGCAAGAACAAATAAGGCAAGAGAAAGATATAAAGGGGATTCAAATAGAGAAGGAAAAAGTAAAACTACCCTTATTTTTAGATGACATAATCCTTTCTTTCTCTATTTATTTATTATTTCTCTTTTGTCCAGTTGTGGGCTGGAACTCAGGGCCTGGGTGATGTTCCTGAACTCTTTTTGCTCAAGGCTAGTGCTCTACCACTTTGAGCACCCCTTCCATTTTTTTTTTTTTTTTTTTTTTTGAGCAGTTAACTGAAGAGTCTCATGGGGACTTTCCTGCCTGGCTTTGAAGCGTGATCCTCAGATCTCAGCCTCCTGAGTAGCTAGGATTTACAGGTGGGAGCCATTAGCACCCCTCTATAATCCTATATTTAAAGGACCCTACAGACTCCTCCATCAAGCTACTAGAGATGGGGAAGGACTGGCAGGGTATAAAGTCAGTAGCTTTCCTGTATGACAACAATGAGAAGATCGAGACTGAAATTAGGAAAGCAATAGTCTCCAAAAAAAAAAAAAAAAATTAGGAATTAAACGAAGATGTGATGGACCTCCATAGTGAAACTTAAAGATTTCAAGAAGGAAATCAAGAAGGATTGGCAGAAGATCGTGAAAACAGCAATACTTCCCAAAACAATCTCCAAATTCAATGCAATACTCATTAAAACCCCAAAATCATTTTCAATAAGAAAGAGAAAACAATCCAGAAATTCATATGGAACCATAAAAGGCCCCAATGTGCAAAAGCATTCCTTAGCAGAAAAAGTAAACTTCAATCTTTGCTAAAGAGCTATAGTAATGAAAACAGCTTCGTACTGAGGCCTGAGGACCAAGAGAACAGAACAGAAGTCCCAGAATAAACCCAAAACCTACAGCCATCTAATATTCTATAAGGGAACCAAAAACATAAGCTAGAAGAAAGAGCAGTCTCTTCAACAAATGGTGCTGGGAAAGCTGGATTTCCACATGCAGAAAACTGAAACTGAACCCTTACCTATCACCTTGTACCAGCATCAATTCAGAACAGATCAAAGACTTTAATGTACGACCTGAAAGTATTACAGGAAGGAGCAGGAGAAACATTAGGACTCCATGGCACAGGAAAGAACTTCCTGAGTAAAGATCCAGAAGCACAACAACAACAAAAAAAAGACTTGATAAATGGGACTGCATCAAACTAAAAAGTTTCTGCATGGGGAAGGACACAGACAACAAGCTAAAAAGACAGTCTACAGAATGGGAGAAAATGTTTGCCTTCTACACATTAGATAATGGCCTTATATCAGAATATGTTAAAAAATTAAAACCTCAAAAATCAAACAACCCAATTAATAAATAGGCTAATGAGCTAAAGAGAAGCAAACACGGCCAGTAGACACATGAAGAAATGCCCAACATCTCTGTCCATAAAGAAAATGCAAATCAATATAACACTGAGGTTCTACTTCAGGCCAGTTACAATTTATGAATTATAGAGACTCCTTTGAAGTTTTCTTGAGAGCCAATTTGTAAGTCATTTAAAGAGTATGAAAACTTCTTTGAAACTAAAAATAATCAATTTCAGCCAGGCACTGGTGGTTCACGCCTAGCTACCCAGAAGGCTGAGATTTCAGTTCAAAGTGGCTTGAGCAGGAAAGTCCATGAGATTCATTTCTTGAACCACAAAAAGCCAGAAGTGGAGTGGTAGCTCAAGTAGTAGAGCACTAGCCTTGAGCATAAAAGCTCAGGGACAGTGCCCAGGCCCTGAGTTCAAGCCTCAGGCCCAGAAAAAAAAAAGATACCTCTCATGTTTATTACTTATTAATTAAACCTGGCTCCAAGTAACTGTTTTGCAAAAATCAAATCCACTCTGAAAGTATATAAATTTTTAGTTACAGAACTAAAGGAATGAAGACAATATGCCACGGCTTAAAGAAAAATAATTGTTATGAGATGATATAACTGTAGTAAGTACTTATCTGCCTATGTTGGATACATTGTAGGCAATGACAGGCTTTTAAAAAAATGTAGGTATTGGGGCTGGGAAGGTGGCTCAATGGTAGAGCGCTAGCCTTGAGCTGAAGAGCTGAAGGACAGCACCCAGGCCCAGAGTTCAGGCCCCATGACCGGACCCCCCCCCCAAAAAAAAATGTAGGTATTGCCAGGTGTCACTGGCTCACGCCTATAATCCTAGCTACTTAAGAGGCTGAGATCTGAGGATCCTAATTCAAAGCCAGCCTGGGCAAGAAAGTCCCTGAGACTCTTATCTCCAATTTACCACCAGAAAAGCAGAAGTGGTGCTATGGCTCAACTGGTAGAGATCTTACCTTGAGCTGAAGAGCTCAGGGACAGTGCCCAGGCTCATAGCTCAAGCCCCATGACTGTTATAGGTGGGAAGTCTGACTCCACCTAGAAGCATCCAAAAAGTTTACAAAACCAAATAATATGAAACTAGTATGGGTAAGGTAGAAAGAACACAAACACAAAGTATAATTCAACACTAATTAAGATTAAAATGTTTCTTTAGGATGATTAGAATAGTATCTTTAATTATACTTCAGCAAACTTCCAATAAACTTTACTTTATAAATAACAGATTGTCCCATGTGTGAAACTTGATCACCTTGCCTGTCATCCACTCGCGAACTCCCTAGTCTCTTTGCTCTTCATAGTTCAAGGCACAAAATGCAAGAAAACAAATGGAAACTGTTCCATGAGTAGTTAAATCGGATATCAGAAAAGTCTACCTAGAGCAAGGCTGTGGGTATAAGAGAACTACTTTATAGGAAGTACACATTGCTTTCAAATGCTCCCGTGCTATGTGTACAAAAATAAATGCGTTAAGATATTTAGTTTTCTTTCTCATTATTGCGTTTTGACCTATATGCTCACATCTCTTTGTAACTGATCATAAATTAACACTGGACAATGATGAAATCAACGCCTTACTGCTATAGTAGATCCATTCTTGCCAACGCCCCCGTGGAGGATAACATGGAAATAATTTGAACAGGAAAATATCGCTCCACCGACTACTCCAAGAACTGGAAAGATCTTCAGTTTGATTTCTAGAATGGGAATCTTCACAGGGTAGGGGAAAGAAAGAAACAAATAATTATGGAAATAGAAGTGTTATAATGTGGCCCTGTATAGCATATTACCATCTTCTTGTATTTAACCCTTACCTCCTGGACTAGAAGTGGTAACTGGGTTTTTTCTTGTTGTTGTTGGTTTATTAAGTAAAAATCAGATTATTCATTTACAAAATTATGATCAACATTTAATCACATAAGCCTTCATCTGACTTAACTAACTCACTGGAATTTTGTAGTCTTGAAAGGACTGCTTCTAAAGGGAAGGCAGACTTCGTGGTTTCCCTCATAAAGGTGACAACTACCATGTGTGTGCATGCAGGAAAATGCGTGTACTCCACATTCAAGATTAAACCTCTAGCAATATATTTACCTGTTGGTCAACTGCTGTTCAAGACAAGTTCCAAAGGCAGCAAAGGATTTAAGAAAAGAACAGGAACAATGAATTGCCAGAAGCTACAGGCTATCCTATTTTGAAAAAAGACTTTTTGAGGAATTGTACCAGAATCTGTGGAAGCTACAGGCTGACAACTAAATGTAGAAGACCTACATCAAAAATAAGCACCCTTATTTGTGAGAATAAGCAAGTGTGTTCTCTTCCTAGTACATTACACACACACACACACACACACACAAAGTGAAACAATTTTAAGACTCAATTCCAAATTCAAGTCAACCATACTTGACTTAATGACCAGAACTGTCTAACTGCTTATGGGTATCGGCTGCACAGCTACCGCAACACCTCTCCAGTCTGCCATACAGACCACACATCTACACAGCAAGGTGTGTGAATGTCCTAGGGTCCGCCCCTGTACTTTAAAGTATGCTGCAAGTCTACTTCTGAGCCTAGTCATACAAACAGCGCTCGGCAATTCAAATACTTAAGGGCCAGAGAGAAATCTTTCACTATCTTTTAAAATAGAATTTGTTTCTCCAGCACAGTTTTAGATTCATGGTAAAACTGACTAGATATTAAAGAGAGTTCCCACACACCTCCTGTCCCCATCCCTCTCAAAACAGGCCCCAAAGAAGCATCTGGGAATAGTGGATCCCCACTGGCATGTCATCACCACCTGCAGTTCATACGTTACCTTTCGGTTCAGTGTAAGTGTCATGCAGTCTACGTACCATGAGAAATATATAATATAAATATATCTAGTGCTATATTAGTTTCCAGAATCATTTCATAGTCCTCCAGTCTCCCTCCTTCCCCTCACCTCTATCCAACTCCTGGCTATCGCCAGCCCTTCTACTGGCTTCATGGTTTTATCTTTTCCAGAATTCCATATGGATGGAATAATAGTGTAGGTAGCCAGTTCAAATTGCCTTGGCGCTCGAAGCCTTTAAGTCTCTTCCACATCTTGATAGCTCATTTTTCTTTAAGATTTTTTTATTAGTATACATCAGTTGTACAAGGGGGAGGTTACTGTGACATTTTCATTCATGCTTACAATGACCTCCATCCATATCATCCCTGCTATATAAATTTTAATATATTTTAGACAGAAGGGCAAATAGTCGCACTTACCGTATAGTCCCATATTGTTGCTCCTCCAAATGTAGACAACACGAAGACGATCACTAAAGCTACCTGAATCTCAGTTACATCCACTCTAAGAGGAAGGACAAAAAGCAGGTCAGCTGTTTGGAAACAAAATTCCTAAATGCAGAAGCCTCTATTTTCTACTTTATAGAGTTCTGCAAAGTTTGAATTTTTTTTACTAGCATATAAGAAGGGGTTTTTCATTGTGATCATTCCACACATGCATATACTATGCCCTGAACACTTCACCCCCTCTGCTCTCTCCCTTATACAACTCCTCCTTCTTATGACGTTCCAACAGCTCTCACCACTCCATTTTTATACATGCACATAAATGACTTCAACCATATTCATCCTCATTCACCCTCTTATTAGCTTTCTCCTACTAGCACTCTCTCTTGCCTCTTGGAAATAAGAAAAATTTTCAATAATACATAATCAGATTAGGGAAAATTCTTAAAAACTCCTAAATCAATTTCTTTCATAACACTGGGGAGTTTTAATGGCTTTCCTTATGAAGGTACTAAGTTACTATAACCTTAAATAGTCACATAAACATTAAATCACTACATTCCACACACACATTAAATGTTTCTCCACATTTACACATTTTTAAATCTCTCAAAAAAAAAAAAAAAACAACCCCATTTGGCAGATAACACCAATCCCTCTATCTACACTGCTCAGCAGCTGCCCTAACTTTTCTTATTAATCCATAACCTGGCTGATTACAAATTAATGTGTATTTCTAATTTCCTCCTTCCTTTGTATTTGCTGTTTAACTTGCTGTTGTATGGACTTCGGCCCCATTATTCTACTGACATTGTTTAAACAAGTGACTTCTAATTTTTCAGATCTAAGGGGTACACTTTAGTAATTATCTTATACAACTCCTTTATAGTATCTTAAATCTAGATCATTCCCTCTTTGAAATGCTTTGCCACACTTTTATTTATTCCATGTTTTCTCCTGACTTTCTTACCTTACTAGAACTCCTTCCTAGCTTGCTTCTCCTTCCATATCCAGAATTCCCTCTACAACTTTTTATCTACATATTTTTATCTTCTTTTAAGACTATTATCCACAGGCCAATGACCTCTAAATCCTATCTCTAATTTACATCATTTTTTCTTGAGCTCCAATTTTTTTTTTTTTTTTGGTTGGTTGTGGGGTTTGAACTCTGGGCCTGGGCCCACTATCCCTGAGCTCTTCAGCTCAAAGCGAGCGCTCTACGGCTTGAGCCACAGGAGATAAGAGTCTCACGGACTTTTATGCCCAGGATGGTTTTGAACAGTGATCCTCAGATCTCAGCCTCTTCAGTAGCTAGGATTACAGGCGTGAGCCACTGGCACGTGGCTATCCAATTTTTTTTTTTTTAATTTTAATTTTTGCTGATCCTGGGGCTTGAACTCAAGGCCTAGACACTCACTGTCCCTGAACTTTTTCATTGTTGTTTTGCTCAAGACTATTGCTCTACCACTTGAGCTACAGCTCCACTTTTGGCTTTTTTGGTGTTTAATTGGAGATAAGAGTTTATACTTTTCTGCTAGGCCTGGCTTTGAACCGTGATCCTCAGCTCTCAGCCACCTGAGTAGCTAGGTGCCCAGCTGAGCTCTAAATTTTTCTCTGGGTACCTACTTCACATGTCTGCCTGTATGGTCCAGACTTTAGATGCTAGAGTAGTTAACACTCTGCGAATATACTAAGTGTAGGGATTAGATTAAAAAAGAAAAACATGGAAGAAAACATTTCTCTACTGGGTTCTTTTGGGGGCAGTTAAAAGGAAAATCATAACATAACTAAAAGGAAAATATAAATAATGAGAATATTTGTAATATCATCAGCACGCGAACTAAGTAAGGTTCCAGGCTGCTGGGAAAAGTAGTGAAGTTAGTGCCTTGGTCAACTTTATATTACCCGGGGTGCTTTGTGGAGGAAAAGGGGAAAAGTACATTTATCTGTAATCTGTTGTCTATCATATGAGACTTTAAAATGCTTTTTCAATGCCTGCATTTGGAATGGCTGAATACTCGCAAAGGAAAAGAACTCCAGAATCAACACTTGCTTATTATCAAGGCTGTACTCACGTCAGTAAACCAGAATTATGCCATTAGGTTTCCAGGGCTGGGATAAGTGGCTGGAAACCACCAGGACAGCAGATGGGACTGCGAAGCAAGCTCTCTAGAGGACCTCAAGTGAGGTCCTCGTGAAGATGAAGCTGGAGCCTGGCTGCGCACAGCAGCACGCAGGCCATAGATTCTAAACTCAGCTTTCATCCAAACTAAGGGACAAACTAAGTACATTTCAACTTCCTGCATCTAGGGGGGAAAAAAGAAGCTGAAAGGATATTATTATATTAAACTTGGTTAAATGAACAAGTTCAGTTCAATCCTCAGTTCCAAAAACATAAAATGATGATGTTCTTGGGAAGAGGATGGGTGGAATTATTCACCAAATCTTCAAACTCTGAGCTGCATAGAGAATTCTGGAGCATGAAGGATGCCAAACAAATACAATTCTATTCGGTGTGATAATTCATAAGCTTAGAGAACTCTTTCATGGCTCCAAGTTTTAAAAAGTTGAATGAAAAAGTCTTAAAAATGCAAGAAAAGCAGCGTGGTGGGACATTATCAGGGTATGGCCTTAGTCCCCAGGCTGTTACCAGGGAGGATGATTGAAAGGAGTACAGTTTATTACCAGTACATAATAAGAAAGGTTTACAAGCAATGGAGAATGTTGTGACAATTTGAGTAATATTTTATCTGCTGAATCAAAGCAACATCGGGGACTGTATTTTAATAAGTCAAAATTTTGCTTTTATTTATGTTTGTGCCTGTGCGGGGTCCCCAGGGCCTCATGGTCCAGCTTTTTGCTCAAGGCTGGGACTCTAACACTTTAGTCATGCCTCCACTTCTTCTTTTTTTTTTTTTTTTTTAGCAAAGTGGAAAAGCATATTTAGCAGCTTAAATGTACCCACGAAACAACATTTCCAAAGTATATTATGAGATTGTTCAGCCTGGTCTCTCATGCCTATTTTCAGACACTATAAAAATTAAACCCCCAAATTGACAGATTTTTCAGGAAATTCATCCTGGCTCCATTTGGAGCATTTCCAGAGGGCTGGTGCTTGGCCTTCACAAAGGTCCTTCTTGTAGCAGGACCATCAAACTGTCCTCTTCAGTCCCCCCTGGCACTTTTATTTGGGCAAAGTTAAAAAAAATAAACCAATATACCACTTAGGAGAAATGGTTAGACTCCATATTTAAATGGCTGAGCCCCTGGGACACCTTCTTTGCCACTTCAGCTTGGAGCTTATCCATTCAGCCATTTCCCTATGGCTCTAGTACTTTCCTCACTCTTCTGACTGGAATACTCTTCCCTAGCTGTGTGGCAGTGACTCCTTTTTGCGCCTCCAGTTCAAGGCTCTGAGCTGGAAGTAACTAAATGCAGACGTTACAGTAAGGCCAGAAATACAAACTAATTCATTTCAGAAAGGTTATTTATTTATTTTGCTGTCCTGGGGCTTGAACTCAGGGCCTGGGCACTGTCCCTGAGCTTCTTTTACTTAAGGCTAGCACTCTACCACTTGAGCCACAGCACCACTTCTGGGTTTTTCTGTTTATGTGGTACTGAGGAATTGAACCCAGGGCTTTATGCATGCTAGGCAAGCATTCTACCACTAAGCCACCTTCCCAGGCCCCAGAAAGATTTTTTAATGATGTTAAGGAATCAAAAAAAGTATGTGAATAATCACTAAATAATGACAATTAGCCATTATTTTATTACTCCACTTTCTCATAGCAAGTTTAACAAATAAAATGCAGTAGGCCATGCAAGGCTGCTTTTCTATTTTGTCCTATCTTAATCTACAAGGAGTGTGGTTTGTGAGTTTACATAATGACCTTGAATTTTACCTGGAAGTGGGGGGGGAGGGGCGGGCGGGGAAAGGGGAGTGATCCTTAGGCACTTGACAGGTATTTAAGAAATCAGCTTAAAGCTCTCTTACACTAAAGCTCTCTTTGGTGTTCCTGAAAACCTAAAGCAAGCCATGAAGAGTGGAGGATCTACAAGCCCAAGGCCTGAGTTTTAATCCTGGTCCACCACTACTACGGGCAGCACATTTGTACAGTGGAGGCAGTACCCTCCTCCTCGGTTAACGTCTTACACACAGGTAAGGCACTTGGTGCCCAAAGCCTGCAAGGAAATGCTTAGCAGGCAGTAGCTCCAATGATTCCACCATTGAGAGGTTTCCCTCTGCTAGATGGTCCATGGCTTCCAGTTTCCCTTGTTGATCAGTAACAAAGAGTTTTCTCAGAGCTTGTTTCTCCTGTGCAATAGTAAAACAGAACCAGCGGCGGTGGGAGACCAAAGCTGAGGATGCACGGAGGAGAGCCGGGGAGCTAGGGGGGAAGAGGGGACAGTATTCCTGGGCCCGGAGCACGAGGCCAAGCAGCACCCACAGCGTAATGTGCAGCTCGGGCATGTGCAGGAGCTCCACCTCACCCTGCCAGAGGCCACCACTGCCCCTTCTTGGTGACTGTGGTTCGTGGGGTCCCCCCCTTTTTGGACAGTTGATGATTTGACCAAAAAAAAAAAAAAAAAAAAGGCTTTGGACTCCATATCACATTATTTATTATATGAATCAAACACTGCTTATTTAAATATCTCATATCCTTTTTTTTTCTATAAGATTCACATCTTTCATGTTTCCCTTTTCTGTCATTTTTTGGTTAAGTCTGGGCTAGTAAGCTGGAGAAGAAAAATAGTGATTGTCAAATAATGTAGCTATCACATGTGGAACACCTAAAAGACTTCAGTAAAAGGTGCAGCCTTTATAGACAGTCCAATAAATTAGAACTTCCCCCTTTCATATAGACAAGTGCCAAACAGATTGTGAAACTGAATAAATGTACAAACTTATAAAAACATACTTACTTTCCAAACCTCAACACTCCTGAAACGTAAGTCTGCCAATGAGCACAATAAAACATAAACATCCCAATAAAAGAGCAAAAAAACAACCAGTCAGGATGAGTTCCTAAGCGAACAGCAATTGAAGCTCCAACGGCCATAAATACTGAAAGAAACAAAATTTAAGAACCATTGAGATATAAAAATAATCAATGACATAACTGTCCAGGGAATTTTAGGGGGCATGGTCCTGGCATTAAAACAAGGAATGCTTAACAAATTAATTTTTTTTTTTGGGTCTGGTCGTGGGGCCTGAACTCTGGGCCTGAGCGCTGTCCCTCAACTTTTCAGCTCAAGGTTAGCGCTCTACCACTTGAGCCACAGCACCACTTCTGGCTTTTTTCTTTTTGCTGAGGAATGGAACCCAGGGCCTCATGCATGCAAGGCAAGCGCTCTACCACTGAGCCACCTTCCCAGCCCCAACAAAATAATTTTTTGAACATACATTATGAAAAATTGTTCCCAAATTTCTATGTCAACAAAAAATTGACCAAACAAGCAGCTCCCTTCATTTCAGTTTATAAGCTATCAGTGCAGAAAACAAACAAACAAAAAACAAAAAAAAAACACTACAGGAAGAATAATTTTAAAAAACAACAACAATGTAAGTTACCTGTGGAGAGAGAGTCACAACCATGGTCAAAAAGTTCTCCTAAGGGAGAACAAGAGTTTGTTCTTCTGGCTTGCTTGCCATCAATAGCATCCAGTGACTGGTAGATAAAGAGTCCCAGGGCACATAAAAGGTACGTCCAGTATGGCGCCTAAGAAGAGAGGGAAACAACAATGATGGGTAAGTGCCAGTAGGCTAGCTGGTCCCTGAAAATCGCCCCACCTAAGCCAATCAACACACTTTGTGTTTACATTTTATATCACAACAGTATGCTCCAACGAACATGCATAATCCTCCTCCTTTCAGAGAAGCAATGAGACAGAGGAACTGCTCTAAGTCACAGACTAGAGGGCCACAGAGTCTCGAGTTGTGAGAAGCAGAGTCAAACAGCTGAGCCAGGCTCAGGACTCTCATTTTCATTCCTAGTTCATGGCTCATTAGCTTTTTCACTCTAGGCTGGCTCTCTGTCTACCATTGGAGCCTGACTTCCAGTTCTGTCTTTTTGCTGGTAATTGGAGTCTCACATGGCCGGGCGCTGGCATCTCACATCTATAATCCTAGCTACCCAGGAGGCTGAGATCTGAGGAGCAAGGCTCAAAGCCACCCCGGCCAGGAAGTCCATGAGACTCTTATCTCCATTAAACACCAGAAAACTGAAAGTGGCGCTGTGGCTTGAAAGTCGTAGAGCACTCACCTGAGCTGAAGAGCTGAGGGACAGCGCTCCCAGGCCCAGAGTTCAAGCCCCACAACTGACAAAAACAAAAAAGATCTCATGGTCTTTCCTGCTTGGGCTGGCTTTGAACCATGATCCTCAGATCTCAGCCTCTTGAATAGCTAGGATGACAGGCATGAGCCACCACGAAATATGGCTACTTTTAAAGGCAATCTTCAGACCTTCACATCCACTCATGACATACGACCAGAGTTTGAAATTACTCTCCCACCTTATATAACCAGAAGAGTATTAGCAACCACAGTTCTATGACTTGGCCGGCAGCCTGTGATCTCGAGAGAAGAGGATCAGCTCCGGGAGCCCGTGACGGCTCCAGCTTACTGCCGCTTCCGGGTCATGGTGTGGGAAGGGACTCACTCAGCTGGGTAAGCAGGCTGCGTTGAGGGGGTATCAGAGTTAAGGAAGGTCGAGGGAGGTAGGACTTGTGAACTCTTCAAACCCACAGGGTTTGTGGAGGGCTGCAGAAGGTGTCCTCTGAAGCGTTGGCTGTGAACTGACCTATGTCTGAATGAGACAGACATGCTAGCAGCAAGGCCAGGAAAAGGAGCACTGAGAAGCAGAAGGTCAAATTGTTTTGCCCACACGTGGGAGGAGTTCATGTTCCCATTAGGCAGAGAAGAAAGACTTTGTAATATCCAGGGCATTAGGCAGAGATCTCAGATGTACACTGCTTTAGCAGTGGTCAAAACTTAGCTCTAAAGGCTTTTACAAGACAGCCCGAACAAAAGCTAGTCTTAAAAAAGATCCAAAAAATTCCCTATAGGTTAACCAGAGCCAGCATAAAGTATATGTTAGATAAAAACCTAGCACGCCCAGTCAAAAATGACCAGTGTTATGGACAAGCAGGAGACTATAACTTACAAGGACAAAATTAACCAAAACAATCAGATCCAGGAATGTGAGAAATAACAGATATAGCAGACAAGGCCAGTAAGTTATTACAAATGTGCTCCTCATGCTCAAGAAGGTAAAGGAAAACATGACAATTACAGAGAAATAGAAGTATCAATGGAAATCTCTACAAAGGAGCTCACTCATGGGTGGTCAGGGGGCAGCATGTGGAGAAGAGTCCAGGGACAAGGTATACCCTTCCAAGGCTACGCCCCCAGAGACCTACTTCTTCCAGGAGGACCTCCTCATCCTCCATCTAGCTAGGAATTCATCAGTGGACTAACCCATTGAAATTAGATCCCTCAGGTCCTAATCAACTCTCAAAAGCCCTTTAGATCACAATAAACCAAGCCCTTATCACACAAACATACGGGGATCTTTTTGTATTCAAAGCATAGTATCTGATCAGCCCAGAATGGTACATCTTGGAGAGAAGGACAGCATAACTGTTAAAGAATTAGGGTTTTAACATTAGAGCTATGTTTGAGTCTCTGGCTCTCTTTTCCAGTAACTGTGGGGCCTTGAGCTAGGCATTGAACCTCTTGAAGCCTTACGTGCTTGAACTATAAGTTGCCTTGTCTGTACCTCCAGCTGTATCTAATGAAAAACGTAGAATTTTTAAAATACAAAGCAAGCATATAGTGCATGCTCATTGTTATGTTGGAAACTATTAATAGCAAAATACTGTTTTTCTTATTTTGTTTTTCTGAAATAGGGTCTCACTGTGTAGCCCAAGTGATCTCCAACTTGTGGTCCTCGTGCTAAGATTGTAGGTGTGCAACTAGTATGCTTATCAAATATCAACTTCTATATGGTTTGTGTAAAAATTCTACAAGTACTCAACCAACTTGATCACCCCATTCTTCAATCTTCCTAAGTAAATAGAACTTTGCTTTAAATAAAAAACATAAAATTTTCAACAATTTTTAATATGAGAGGCTCAGTATTAATGCAAGCACTACTAATTGCATAAAAGGATACAAAAGTCTTTTATTTAAAAGGAAGGTAATATAAATTAGGAATAACGTAAGAACAGAAGGAACTTGAGTTATGAACATAAGTAGTAAAATATCGCATTTTACTACTTCAACATATTTTCAAACTGGACACTATGAAAGGCAGGTGAAAAGCAGAGCCAAGAGTACAAAAACAAAAAGCGAACCAAAACTAACTCATCTGGAATTTTTTCAAAGAATGCTAAAATGTTGTGCAGGGAACAATTCTGTTAACTAGCAAGTTTTTAACCTTTTTCTTACTATGAAAAAAATACATTTCTTTAATGAGAAAAGCAAAGTTTAATTCAAATGTTTCTAAATTGCAAGTTGTGATTCTTAAAATTTCTGATTGCAAGAATATTGTAGGGGCTGGGAATGTGGCTAAGTGGTAGAGTGCTTGCCAAGCATGCATGAAGCTCTGGGTTTGATTCCTCAGTACCACATACACAGAAAAAGCGGAAGAGGTGTTGTGGTTCAAGTGGTAGAATGCTAGAATCTTGTGCAAAAGACGCTCAAGGACAGTGCTCAGCCCTGAGTTCAAGTCCCAGGACTGGCAGAATTAAAAAAAAAAGAAAAAGAATCATTGTATATTCAAGACCAAGGGACACTGCTAAAGGAGGGCTTTGTACCTAGTCAGGTGACATTTTATTTTTAAGAGAACTCATGGTATTTCTAGAAGTTCTAGAAAGTATATCAATGGTCCGGTTGCTGTTGACCCTCTGACTCACCTAGTGCCCGAGATATGCTGATTTTTTCCCCTGGGAGTCTGTGAGAGGCAGGGCACTTCCTTGTTTGCAGAGGTGGATTCCCGCCCAGCCATGGCTTGGCCTGGCTCCAGAGCAGGTTAGGGAAAAGATAGGAGCAGGAAAGGGAAGATCATTCTGTCAAGCCCAACAGAATGGCCTCAAGGCTTACTAGTTACATTCGGGATCTTGGGCCTCAGCTCAGTTTAGGGCTAGCACAGAGATGACCTCACTCATTTTCTAGGAGAGAGAGCAGGTTGTGATTGGGACAAAGGAAATCAGATGTCACTCCAGATGGCACCAGCATTTCAGAACCAGAGGGCTGCCTTGTGATCTCAGAAGCCCGATTTTAAAGGGTGGCTTCCTTCCTATTTTTTTCTGTGAATAGTTCTGGGTTTTCTTCCTCCTTCAGTACTTTCTAGAAGAGTTCTTGCTGGAACTGGGCTAAAGGGAACAGGAGAGTGAGGGTGGTGGCCCAAATCTGCCATCAACAGGGATTGCATTAGGTGCTCTTACCATCCATTCTGTCCTTCAACTTCATAAAACCCCAGTGTCTGGATCCTTATGTCCCAGAGATCAGGGTTTCAGGAATACAATTACTCATTCTTCCTATGAATCAGAATGCTATGTTTCATCAACACTTGAGCCAGGATATTAAAGGAGAAACAGCTTATGCCTTATCAAAGCCTTCTCCCACATTATCTGAAGGGTTTCTCCACAGGTGGGTGGAGGCCAGAAGGCACGGCAGCTTCAGAATTTCCGGAGCATTTGCTTGTGGGGTCCTGCAAGGGTCTCCTTTAAATGTGGATGCCTGAGTTTACACCCATCCTGAATCTCTGTGCTACTTCTAGAAATTCCATCTTCTGCAAGCCAGCAGGTTACATTTTATTTTTAAATGTGATTTTGTTATTATTAAAGTGTTATAAAGAAGCGTAAATAAGTCAGGTACTCTGTACAGGTTTGGTTTGGTTTTGTTTGGACAATATTACCCTGCCCAAAATGTTATCCCCTGCCCCAAAGTCACACAATTCATTTTCCACATAGTATATACTGAAGACCATGCTTGCATTTGTTCACTCTTCTTCTCTCCCTTTCTATGCCCCCCATTTATCCTCTTAAAAAAAAAATCCCAATAGCAAAAACAAATACCACCATTACCACCACCACCACCACCAAAAAATCCGTGTTTCCATTTCTTCAAATTCGTTTTGATAAACAGTATTTTAAATGTTCGGAAAAGTTACACTTTTGGGTTCCTCCTTCAGTCTGTACATGAATGCCTGGAGTCCTGTATAGCTTATCATGTCCAGAGAAAACATATGCCGTTTGTCTCTGTGAGCTTAGACCTCACTTAACATGATTTGTCCCAGATCCATCTATTTCCCTGCAAATGACATCATCTTACTCTTTCTAATGGATGAGTAAAATTTCATTGTGTATATATATGACAATTTGATGATCCACTCATCTGTTGTAGGCCATCTGGGCTGTTTCCATAATTCAGTTATTATGATGAGTGCAGAAATGAATACAAGTGTTTTTACTATATTCAGACTTGGTAGATGCCCAAGGAATGGTATGGCTGGGTCATAGGGAAGCTTGATGTTTCATTTTTTTGAGGACCCTCCAAACCTCCATCTAGAGTGGTTGTTCTAGTTTACATTCCAACCAACAGTACATTAGGGCTCCCTTCCCCACCCCCCATCCTTGCCAGCCATACTTGTTTGAATTCTTGATGTTGGCCAACCTAACTTGTATTTTATTTTAATAAGAAAGAACACTCCCTTTTAAGACTTATTAATAAAGGAGAGGAGAAAATTTGCCTCCTGTTTATTTGCCCAATACTTGCTTATGTGCCTTAAATTTAGCCAGGCCAAACAACTAGTAAGTATTTAATCTAAGAATAGTAAAAGCTAGTAAGAATTGAAATAACATCTCTCAACATTACACTGCAACATCATTCATTCACACAATCAATAACAAACACCAAGAATTCAAGAACCTGCTAGCACTTGCTTGATGCAAGGCATTGCATTAAGTATGAGAATTATTCAAATGGACAATCACTGTCTGAACTTGAAATCTAGTAGGCTGTCCTGCCCAGAAAGAATACATATAAAAAGGAGAAGTTATACTGGGTGCATGTCGCTCAAGCCTGTAATCCTAACTACTCAGGAGGCTGAGATCTGAGGATCATAAGTATCCAATAAATGTTAGTTGTTATTATAACAATCAACAAGTGGCTGATTTAATTTGGGAGAAAGAAAACACATTAGAAAAGGTGGTGAATTGGTAGTTAGAATTGGGCACTGAACAATAAGCTTGGAGCAGTAGCTCACCTAGCTACTCAAGAGACTGAGATCTGAGGCTTGTGGTTTGAAGCCAGTTGGGAGACACAAAGCCAAGAGACTCATCCCCAAGAAAGCAACAAAAAGCCAGAAGTGGAGGCATGGCTCAAGTGGTAGAGTGTTCATCTTGAATAAAAACGTCCTCAACAAGGCAAGGCCTGAGTTCAAGGCCCATTGCCAGAACTAAAAGAAAAAAAGAAAAGAAAGATAGGAAGGTAGGTAACTAAATAAGTAAAGCAGGAGAAAAGAGAAAGGAAAAAAGAAGAGGGAGAAGCAGGGAAATCCTTGTCATAGCCAAGTATTTCAATCTGGCTGGAGTGACAGCTTTAAAAGTATTTCAAACATAATGGAAACCACTTTCATTAGTCTCCCTTTATACTCAGTTATGTCCTAGAAATAACACTGTCAAGTCTGAAAAGGTACTATGAATTCTTAAGTTTCAGGCCAGGTTAAAGTCATTTAATCTCTCTGGGCCTCAATTTTCTCTTACGAGAAAGTAAACTGCTGCTAGCCTGGGCACAGTGACTCTTACCTGTAATCCCAGCTGCTTGGGAAGTGGCGATTAGGAGGAATGCATTCTAGGCTAGCCAAGGCAAAGAGTGAATGAAACCCCCATCTCACCCAATAAGCCTGCCATGGTGCCTGTGATCCCAGCTAGGCAAGAGACATAGGTAGAAGGATTGTGGTCTGAGGCCAGCCCTAGGAAAAATGCAAGACCTGCTCTGAAAAACAATTATAGCAAACAAAAAGAAAGGGGGGTTGGCTGGGGTATAGCTCAAGTAGGAGAGTCTACTATGATCAGGTCTTGAGTTCAAACTGTAGTACCACCAAAAACTATAGTAATACCAAAAAAAAAAAAAAAAAGAAAGAAAAGAAGGGAGAGAAGGTAAGAAGGAGAGGAGGAAAGGAGAGAGAACGAGAAGGGGGAAGGGGGAAAAGAAGAGAGGGAGTGGGGTAATAGAGGACTGGAGAAAGGAAAGAGGGATAAAGTGGGGAGGTAGAAGGGGAAGGAGGACAGAGAGAAGAAGAAAGGGAGGGAAAGAGGAGGGGGAGGAGGAGGGAGGGAAGAAAGGAGGATGGGAAATATGACTGTTTCTTCAGGGTGGATGGAGACTCAGGAATACATCAAGGGTGGGAAGGTCATTCTGGGAAGGGGAACTTGCCAGTTTCGCTGGGTTGCTATGGGACATACAGACAGATACAAGAGTGGAGGTGCAACTCCTTTATACCACTGCATTATATAAAAACTCAAGTGTTCCTCCTGCACACTGCAAAGAGAGAAGAGCAACTGCAAATGAGAAGATAGCAACAAATAACAAAAGGAATATGAGCTTTGAATTTGGAGCAACTTAGATGGGCATATCTACTTGTTTTGTTACCTTAAGGCAAGAGCCAGACGTGGCTATGGTCTTTATGTTATTGCTGTCCTTTTATAAAGCAAGCATTATACTTTAATATGTGGATGAGGAATTTTAATTCACTAAGCAAATTCCACATTTATCTGCATTTGTCATTTGGTCTTCACAGACTCCTTGTAAAATTGCCTGGCAGGCATTATATTCTATTTTCGACACGAGAAAACAGATCCAGTAGGTGTGCTGTGACAGAGAGAGAGGGGAAACCAAGTCCCCACTTCCAAGTCAGCCACCTTCTCATTCTGGTGCCCCCTGCCTCTGGGAATTCTGGAAACAGGCAGCAGAATCCCCCAAACTACAACAGCATACTTTTTACAAACAATATGGAAATACTGATGCAAAATCTGCTAAGAAAGGTATAATAAATATATGTCACCCATTTGACCAAGAAGCATAACCTGACTTACAGAATTGTAACCCACCTTTGTATTAATAATAATGATAATGAGGATGAGGATGAGGATGATGGTGAACATGTCATCGATGAGCAAGATTTTTAAAAATTGCTAAGCCAGGTGCCAGTAGCTCACATCTGTAATCCTAGCTACTCAAGAACCTGAGATCTGAGGATAGTGTTTCAAAGCCAGCCAGGGCAGGAAAGGCGGTGAAACTCTTATCTCCAATTAACCACCAGAAAACCGGAAGTAGTATTGTGGCTCAAAGTGGTAGAGCTCAAACCTTGAGCTCAAAAGCTCAGGGACAGTGCCTGGGACCTGAGTTCAAGCCCCACGACTGACCCCCCTCCCAAAAAAACCCCCACAAAACACAAAAATTGTTAAAAGGCCATTGTATGAATGTAGAGCATGAAGTACTCTCACTGTATTCCTGGAATCCAACCGTAATCTCTTTTAGCCTTCTGCAAGACCTGTACTCTAATGTGATGATAGAGATACTTCACGAGGAAGTGGCGCCGTGGCTGAAGCGGTAGAGCGCTCACCTTGAGCTGAAGAGCTGAGGGACAGCGCCCAGGCCCAGAGTTTAAGCCCCACAACCGACCAAAAAAAAAAAAAAAAAAAAGAAAAGAGAGACACTTCACGACTTGGGCACAGAAAAGAAAGCAATGTATGGGATATGCTATGTAGTATGTATCTCACCTCCTTTCACTCTACAGGGCATCTCCTCTTACACTCAGTATCCATGGATGCTTCTGATGAAAAACTGTCCAAAGTCCATATTTCTTACTTTGAACATAGGTCAAATACAATTAATACTAAAAAATCGGTTAGCTTTTATGATCCTTGGGTGTCAATAAGGATTATTGATTTAGTGGAGCTTGAACTCAGGGCTGGGTGGCTAGCCTTTAGCGGTTTGCTTAAGGCTGGCACTGTACCACATGAAGCACAGCTCCACTTCTGACTTTTTGATGGTGAACTGGAGATAAGAATCTCATGGGCCTGGTGCTAGTGGCTCACACCAGTCATTCTAGCTACTTAGGAGGCTGAGATCTGAGGAACATGGTTCAAAAGCCAGCCTAGGCAGATAAGTCTGTGAGCCTCCCATTCTTATCTCCTACTAACTACCAGAAAACCCGAAGTGGCCCTGCAGTTCAAAGTGACACAGCACTAGCCTTGGGCAAAAGAGCTCGGGGACTGCACCCATGGCCACCTCCCATACCCCCTGTCCCCCCAAAAAAAGAATCTCCTGGCTTTTCCTGGCTAGTTTGAACTGCAATCCTCAGATCTCAGCCTTTTCAGTACCTAGGGTTACAGGCATCAGCTATGGAGGCTTGTTTTCTGAGGTTTTGTGTGTGTGTGTGTGTGTGTGTGTGTGTGTGTGTGTGTGTGTGAAAGAGAAAAAGTTATGAAGGGAAGTGACTTCCTCTTAACAGTAACTTATCTTCGATCAGTGCTACCAGTAATTTCAAAATCACTAGCAGAACCTTTGAGAAACAGATGATTATCAAAGTATCCAAAGTGCATCTTGGGTTTGGCCAACCCAGCCAAAGTGAGCCAGGCAGGGTGGAGATGTGGGTATGTGTGTGTGTGTGTGTGTGTGTGTGAGAGAGAGAGAGAGAGAAAGAGAGAGAGATCTGTGTGTGTGTGAGATCTGTGTCTGTGTGTGTGTGTGTGATCTGTGTGGATCTGTGTGTGTGAGAGATCTGTGTGTGTGTGTGAGATCTGTGTGTGTCTGTGTGTGAGATCTGTATGTGTGTGTGTGAGATCTGTGTGTGTGTGTATTCAGTCTCCAGTGTGCATAATACACAAGGCCACTCCACGGGGGGGGGGGGGGCGAACAGACGCGCCTCCTGTGTCCCCCAGGATGCTGTGGGCGGACAGGGGCAAGGACAGTGACCTTGACAGCCCCTCCACGGCCTGGGGGAGGCTAGGGGGCGGTCAAAGGCCTGAAGTAGAGGCCGGGACGGCCTCCGGGCAGCCTGGGGGGGGGGGGGGGAGAGGCTCGGGGTGCACCCCCCCACCCCGAGGGTCTCCCGTCACGCCCCTCCCCTTCCCAGCGCCCCTAGCGACCCGGTGTGCCGGGCCGGGAGCCGGGGGCGGCCGGGGCGGGCCGTACCTCCTCGGTGACGGTGGGGCAGTAGGAGACGAGCAGCAGCGTGGTGACCATGTTGACGGCGAGGCCGATCAGGGTGATGGTGTTGGGCGCCATCCAGAGCGGGATCCACTGGAGCAGCCAGGTCCAGTAGAGCTGCAGCGGCGGCTCCAGCAGCGAGGCGCCCGCCGCGCAGTAGCGGTGCTCCTCCAGCCGCCGCAGCTGCGCGGCGCCCAGCGGCTCGCCCAGCGCCCTCAGCCAGCGCGGCTCCCGCCGGCCCGAGGCCCCCGCGCCCGCCGCCATGGCCGCCTGCGGGCCGGCCCGCGCCGCGGGGGGGGCGGGGGGCGGGGAGAGCTGGAAGGAGGCGCGCGCGCCGCGGGCCTGCGCCGGCCGGCCGGTGACACCCGCCGGTCCGGGGGGGCCCCTAGCTCCGCCGAGGTCGAACTCCCGCCGGGCCCACCCCCGGGTCCCCGCCCCGCCCCGCCCCGCCCCCTGGCTCCGCCCTGCCCCTCGTCCCCGCCCCCAAAGCGGTGGGGCAGCGGGCGCGGCCGCCTGGGGGCGGGGCTTTGGAGATAAGGGGTGGAGCTGTGAAACCTGACCACGCCCCCAAATGTCGCTGATTGGACAGATCGGACCTGTGGGCGTGTCTGCCTGCTGCCAGAGGCGTCCCGCATCTGCCCCCGAGGTCCGGTTTCTTAGCCTCATTAATGGCCCTCGAAAAGTCTCTGTGGCTGGATGGTTCCTCCGCCTCGCGTTGTGCCCACGCACCCCTGCAGGACCACGCTGCTGCAGAGCCTGGCGTGTAGAGAGTGAGGAGAAGATTCCGCGGATCTTTGGACACCAGCTTGATGACCCCAATCTGCCTGGTAAAAACACATGAACATGTTTTAGCGAAAGAGGAAAGCGATCCCTCCATTATCCGGCTCAGGCTAAGCCTCTTTGAGAATCAGAGTGACGTTTCCGCAACTAGACTTAAAAAGAAAAAAAAAAAAAATCTGGGCTTGGGAACATTTATCTAACCCGGGAACTGAATATTTGAAGCCCACATGTCTATTTTTCAGAGCATTCGACACCAACAAGGATGGGTATTTTTAGACCAGCCTTTCCTTGGAATTAAGGGCCGTAATCCAATCATGTCCTTTCCCCTGGGCCAAGGAACAGTGCCCCGGCCCCTTACCTCACAATGCACGACTTGGACAGTGGACGTCCTGTCATAAACATGTTCTGTTGCACAATCAGAGATAAGCTTGTGTGTCTCTTCACTTCGTGGTTCCATGCTTCAGTGCATCAGGAAAGCTAGAAACTCACTTCCTGGATCCTCCTTTGGTTCAGTATCAGTCTGCAGAGATGTTCATCCAACAATTTGGAACAAGGAGACAGCCAGTTGCAGCCCGCCTGCCTTTCCTACAGTCCATAGCTAAGTATGTTTTTATATTTTTAAGTGCTTGGCAAAAATCAAAAGAACAATAGCTCATGGTGTAGAATTTATGAAATTCAAATCTCAGGTCCATGAATAAAGCCATGTAGTTTTTTTTCCCCCCCTCAGCAGAGTTTAGCAATTAGGGCAGACTGGATGGCTTGCGAAGCCTAGAATATTACCTGATTTTTTTTTCTTCAGTACTGGGGTTGAAATTCAGGGCTTTGAGCTTACTTAGACTGGTTGGTGCTTGACCATTTGAGCCACGGCTCCAGCCCTGCTTATTGCTACCTATTTTGGTGATGGAATCTAAGGAACTTTTTTGCCTGCTGACCTCAAACTGTGGTCCTCCCGATCTCAGCCTCCTCAGTAGCTAGGATTACAGGCTTGAGCCACTCTGACCCAGCAACTACTTGAGTCTCTTTACAGAAGAAAATTTGACAGCTTTGAGTTTGAGGTTACCGACAGACCAGACCATTCATTGGATATACTTTTCTTTTTCTCTCTGTTCTTCTTTCTCTCTTTCCTTCTCTCTCTCTTTCTTTCCTTTCCTTTCTCTCTCCCTCTCTCCCTCTCTCTTTCTCTTTTTCTCTTTCTTCCTGTCTTTCTTTCTTTTTCTTTTCTGTCTGTCTGTCATACTGGAGCTTGAACTAAATCTGTTTATAAAGTCCTCTTTTAGAAACATTTGCTAACAATCCTATCTCCCTAGGTACTGGAGCTTGAGGTTAAGGCCTAGGCACTATACCTACCTTAGTTTATTTGCTCAAGGCTGAAGCTCTACACTTGAACCATAGATCAACCTTCTCCTTTTTGGTAGTTTATTGGAGAGAAGAGTCTATAAACTTTTCTGCCTGGGCTGGTTTTGAATCTTGGATCCTCAGGTTTTGGCCTCCTGAGTATCTAGGATTACAGGTAGGAGCTACCAGCAATCAGTTTTCAATCTATCTTGTTTTGCTTTTTGTTTTGTCTTACAACCCAAACATCTCTTTCCTGCTATTGTCTCTAATCCTATGCTCCAGCTGCCTAGGTCTATTAGTTGTACTTTGGTTCATTTGTTCTCTACTGGATCTTTTCTTCCATCCTCACCAAACTACACATTAGTCAAGGCTCAGCTTCAGCTCCAACTTCTCTAAGATGACTTTTCAGATTCTTCCAGCAGGAGAGGGTTCTGCTCCCAGAAAACAAGAGTACCTGGTAATCCAGACCTTGGATATATTTGTGTTCATCTGTTTCTCTGCCCAGTTCAGAGAGTACAGGCACCAATCTAAAACCAATTTCTTTAACTATTTTTTCTTTGTTTAATGCCAATCCTGGGGCTTGAATTTAGGGCCTGGGTGGTGTCCCTGAGCTTTTGTGTTTAAGGCTAATGCTCTCACTTGAGCCACAGCACCGTCTATGGCTTTTTAGACTTTCATTGGAGATAAGAGAGATCCCTTCAGATTGCAGCCTCCAGAGTATCTAGGATTATGGGTGTGAACCTCTGGCGCTTGGCTAACCTTTTATTTTTAAATAATTGCAGACTCATAGAAGATGTGAAATTAGCACAAAGGTATCTCTCCTGCTCACTGTCGAGCCTTCTTCAGTGGCCACACCTTACATCACTACAGCATCTTAGGCTTCCAACAGTTTTTCTTTTTTCTTTTTGGGGTCCGGTCGTGGGGCCTGAACTCTGGGCCTGGGTGCTGTCCCTCAGCTCTTCAGTTCAAGGCTAGCGCTCTACACTTGAGCCAAAGCGCCACTTCTGGCTTTTTTCTTTTTGCTTATGTGGTGCTTAGGAATCGAACCCAGGGCCTCAGGCATGCAAGGCAAGCGCTCTACCACTGAGCCACCTTCCCAGCCCACTTCCAGCAGTTTTCATTTCCTTGTTGAATGAATTGGGTTGTCTTCCCAAGGGAGAAAGAACATTTTTTTTTTTTTTTTTTGCGCTAGGCTCTTGGTCTCACTTACTGATTCCTCTGTATAACTTTCACTTCCTTTTCAAATCTTCTCCAACATCCCCTACATTTACTTTCAGGCAAAAAAAATATTCCACAGTTTCAGTGAAGCCAGATTAGGCATGTCAGTCTATGACTTCAAAATCCACTGACTTTCATTATTTTAGAAAATGGTATGATTATAATCAACATATCACCTGGACCCCCAATAACTTGATCATTATATGTTGTATGTTCATACCAAATAAACACACCATATCCCAGAAATGTGTAGAATTAAAGTAATAATGGTTATTTTGGGGGGAAAAAAGAAAAAGAATCAGCCAGCAAGATTTTCAGTGTAGCAGAGTTCAGAGATCTAGCCATCAATGGCTTAGCCTTAGAACTACATGGAGGAGTATTTGTGGATGTTAGGGTTCACTGGTGTAAATAATTTCATTTCATTTACTGTGATTTATGTCTTTAGAATTTTGTACTTTGAAATTATAAAGTTTGAATTTTATGAATTGATGGCACTTTACAAAATATACGAATAGCTAGATATGCAGTGTGGCATAATGAATTTGGTTAAAACCTTTGCTCTCCTCTCTAGAAATGCTTTATTTCCTATTCAAGATCAGAAAGTTAAATTTCACAATAAAATCCCTAAGATGTGGTAACTGTGCTTTTCACCTAAAATTGCAAAAGCAATGAAAGTTAAGGAAGTTCATTTCCTTTGGAGACACAGTTCTTAACACTCGGGTTGTGTGTGTGTGTGTGTGTGTTTGTGTGTGTTTGTGTGTGTGTGTGTGTGTGTGTGTGTGTGTGTGTGTGCTCAACAGTACTGAAACTTTAATTCGGGGTTGAGCATTATCCTTTAGCTTTTTCTCGCAAGGCTGATATTCTGATGCCTAAGCCACAACTTCACTTGTGGCTTTTAGGTAGTTTATTGGAGATAAGAGTCTTATGGACTTTCCTACTCAAGCTAGATTTGAACCACAATATTAAAATATCAACCCCTCCCAAGTGTTCAATCTTTTCATATCCTTTAAACCATTTTTATATATTGAATTGACATTTTGCTGCTTTAAAATGTTTTCCACGGGGCTGGGAAGGTGGCTCAGTGGTAGAGTGCTTGCCTTGCATGCCTGAGGCCCTGGGTTCGATTCCTCAGCACCACATAAGCAAAAAGAAAAAAGCCAGAAGTGGCGCTGTGGCTCAAGTGGTAGAGAGCTAGCCTTGAACTGAAGAGCTGAGGGACAGTGCCCAGGCCCAGAGTTCAGGCTCCACAACTGGACCCCCCCCAAAAAAAAAAAAAACTGTTTTCCATGGCACTGAGGAACACTAGAGGAAACTGCTTTCCTCCAGATTTTCTCTTGGCAGTCCTGGGATTTGAACTCAAAACTCAGACTCTCCACATGAGCCATGCCTCTAACCCTTCCAAATTCACAATAACCCCCAGTAGACATGAGCCCTCTGCCACTTCATCTCTTAGTCTGAAGAGGGACAGGCATTTCCTTGGCTCTCTAGTGCCTGGAAGTTTCCAGATGACCACATGATTCCCAAACAGCTTTGGTTTATTTTGAAACAAGGCTCCCTTCCAATGACCTTTTGTCATAATACTCCATGAAGGATGGCTTACAAAGTCTAGAGAGTGGTTTTTTTCCTTTGCCATAGTGTTATTGGTAATTCTCTCTCTCTCTCTCCTTTCTTTTTTTTTCCTGTCTTCCTTTCTTTTTTCTTCCTCCCTCCTTTTCTTTCTTTTTTCTTTCTTCCATTATTTCCTTCTTTCTTTCCTTCCTTTTTTCCTTCCTTCCTTCCTTCTTTCATAAAAGAGCTTAAACCAGTGTGTTTAAATTGGTATATAATGTCTTTTTAAAGATGTTTTCCTAGGCTTCATGATTGGAATGAAGCTAAGGTTCAAATAAAAGCAGGTGAGAATCAGTTGCCTATGAGTAGTTGCGTAAGTGCTTATCTATAAAGAACAGAGCATCTCTTTCGGAACCTATTTCTTGGGAGAAAAAGCAGGTATGGCCAATGATGCGTTTGAGTACAATGTTTTGTCTTTAA